TTTACAAAAGTCTCTTAAGCAAGAAAGGTGATTAACTTAGTATAAAAAAAAGTTTACCTTGGGCGATCGCCATATTCGCACTATAGTAAATTTATATGATCATTCTTCAGTTGACTGGAGGATCATCAATTAAACCAAACTTATAATATTATTTGGGTTTGGTTTTAGTTCGATTATTTTGTATTTGGGTTTGAGTTTGAATTTAGATTTTATAAAATATATGGTTTGAGTTTGGTTTAAGTTTGAAGTTTGATTAAACTCAAACTGAGACCAAATCAAATATAAGAACTCTAAACCAAGTAACCAAAACCAATTTAAACCCTTTTATAACTAATGCTTTAAATAATATAAAATAAGTTAATATTGTATATTAAAAAATCACTACTTTTAATAATACATTTTTTAATATATTTATAAAAAGATTACTAAAGCACAAAGATAGCTAGAATTTATTTATAATTTTACTAGCTACAAGCTTTTAACTACAGTATATATAATATACCAAATTCTATATTCAAAGCTATTGCTTTCAAATTTTACTACTATAATACAAGATTTTTATAATCATTTCCAGAACCATCTCTATATACAAAAAAAGTATCCAGCTACATATTAACAATAATACATGCCCTTTAGCTAGACAAGCTTTTTGCAAGTTTAATAAACAGACCTCCAAGTAAACCCAAAATAATACTTCTACAAATTATATTTTATTACTACAAATTTAAGTAAGTCTTAACTACTCTAGTAGGTTTAGATTACAGATAAATTTTAAAATTAGTCTAAGCTCTTACTCTTGCATGTAATTTATAAGTATATATATATATATTTATAAATATATAAATTGAGTTCGATATATAGTATTTCTATATACAGTAACAGCTTATATAAATTATTTAATAAAGACACTGTATAAGCAACCAAAAAAAAAAAAAAAAAAAACAAAGCAAAATTTATAGTATACTATATATCATGCAATTAAATATCAATTAACCAGGTTTTTGAAATAATATACTATACAGTATCTAAGTACTGTATATACAGTAATTTATATAGAAATATATAATAAATATATAAAACATTATAAATGCGTTTTAAATAAAACGCAGGCCAAATAATACACTTGTAAGTCACTCTAATAGATTTATCTTGAAAATAAGATATATAGTTTTAAAGTTAGTTAAATCTAATTTAAAAATCTAATTAAGAGTACTAAGAGTACTTGAGTTGTTAATATGGCGAGTTTGAAAAAAAAAATATAGCAACTAGAATTCCGAAATTTACAAATGAATGGCCGGAATTATTGTAGATCAGCGCAGATCACAAGTCAGCTACTACTGTACTAATTAGAATAATCTGCGGTCCAACATTTCATTTCTCCAGTTTATCAAATTATTGTCAGCCGTTTCTAAGTTTCTTTTATACAATGAGTAATTCAACGAATTACAGTCCTTATATCCCTCAATCTTCCGTTAACAACCATCAGCAATCACAAGCCTTTGCGTATTCACAGCAGCACCAGGTACCGCCCTATATGCACCAGCACATGGGTGCTAGCCCATATTATTACAATCAATCTTTAGCTATGCTTCGGCCACAAGTCGCGCCTCCTCATTACGCGGCGTCTTACGCAACGCCTCAACAAAACGATACAACTTCTGTGTACAAATCATCTTACTCAGCTTTTAATACACCTATAGCTCCACGAAGGACAACGCGACAAGGTATATTCTATTCACAGCAACCAAACTAAAGGGCCCTTGATTTAAGCACTCAGTTCTCACCACATAGCGATTGAATTTCATTGATACAGCAGTTTATGAAGTAGCAAGACCGACAAAATTGACTTCAAAGCGCAAATTTTGGAGCACATATGCTAGTCGCTTAAGGCAAGGTACTACTGCTTTAGTGCTTCCTGTTCAACTTAGAGGCGGAAAGAAACGTCAACGTGGTGGGGGGCACAGCACCGAAGATTCCGATGGTATAGGAGAATTATTTGAAGATGATGATAGAGGAACTCCTCCGGCGGAAAAACGTCTGGCCGTTGGGCTTAATACCATTAATGGGGAAATTCCAGTAGTAAGGCGAAAAAGAAATAGGACCAGACATATATACAAGTAAGTCTTATACTTTGTTTTATGCATAAATAACTGCTAATTATCTTCACGAACTTTCTTTAGTTCTCAGAAAGAATTAGATCGTAATGCCGAACAAAGAGAGATTTTAATCCCTATTAGACTGGATATTGATTTGGACACGCATAAATTGCGTGATACCTTTACATGGAATCTTAACGGTAAAGTCATATTATATTTATAATTCATCCTTAACCTATAACCAAAAATTAATCATATTTTTTTTTTAGAAAAATTAATAATTCCCGAGCACTTTGCTGAAATAATGTGCCACGACCTTGATCTTCCGATCAATGAATTCGTTCCTCTTATTGCAGACTCTATACGTAAACAAATTCAAGAACATGAGCCAGTAGCGGAAAGTAACGTCTCGACGGAAGATACTAGGGTTACAATTAACGTGAGTTATTTTTATCTGTTTGAAATAGATGACATATTTATTAAATGAGCGATTAAATAATATGGTTCAATATTTAGCTTGATATCCATGTTGGAAGACTTAATCTTCGCGATCGGTTTGAATGGGATTTGAGTTCGGATCTGACCCCGGAAGAATTTAGTACAATTCTTGCGGCAGATCTTGGAATCGGCGGTGAATTTGTTACGATGATCTCGCATAGTATTCACGAACAAATATTAAAATATAAAAAAGATATAAAGTCAGATGATTCAGATAATGAGAGTGCACCATTAAAATCCGTTTTTCGTGCATATGAAGATGCAGATGAATGGAGCCCTGTATTGAATTTATTAACAAATGAAGAGTTGGAAAAGATTAGGTTGGACCAAGAAAGGGATATAAGGTATGTTTTTGAACAAATGTTTTATAGAAAAGCATTCACATATTATGTACAATTGATAATTTTATTATTCTTGGATGATATAGACGCATGCGAAGAGCTACCACGCGTAATATTGCAAGATCAAGGTCATCGCGTTCAACGGTAATCAATGGAATTGACCACTCATCGATTTATATAAATCAACGAACTCGAAACGACACAAAATTAACGTTGGATGAATTGGAAGTTTGGAGGTGTATGCATTGCGGCATTGATGGCCACACTACACCTTTAGTAAGAAAAGGCCCAGATGGGGGCAAGGTTTGTGTTTTTGTAATTAATCTTCTTTCATGAACTCTAGTTATATTTATTAATTTTTGTCGATCACTTTTTTTTTTTTTTTTTATTTGTAAAGTCACTTTGTAATGCGTGCGGTTTGGTGTGGTTAAATAAAGGTGAATTACCACCACACCGCAAATCTATGTTCAAAAAGGATGAAATATGAAATCTTAAAAAATAATTATGGATTTGCAATATTATTTCATTCTCGAAGTTGAATGAAATGTAGAAAAAATAATTAAACCCAATGTATATATGTAAATATTAATTCCGATATCGACTCTATAATGCATTCTTATTAAAATTTTACCTACAATTAAACTTTAATTTTCAATAATTTATTGTTACATGTAATAGTTTAATTTTAATTTAGAATCATGGCCGATATTTTCGTCTCATAACAATTATTACCAGAAAATATAATATCACAAATGGTCATGTGGTTAATTAACATAATTTATAATCATTTTATAATTCATTATTATAATTAAAAATTTTCCTTTTATGTAGACTTAACTATGAGTTTGCGATTACTTCCCAAACGGCTAATAAGTGCGAATAGAAGAATAGTATATCGAGTAGTATATTCTTTAGCATAGAAAAGTATCGCTTGAGAAAGCACAGCTTTTAAAATCTGAGCTTGCATTCCCTGTTAATTAAAAAAATTAATAATAAAAAATAGACAAAAAAAAAAAAAAAGAAAATGCATATTTTTTTTACCGTGTACCATCCGAAGAACCCATCAGATTTTAGAACGCTTATCAGTACACCAATTGCAGTTTTATTTTTATTATTGTAAGGTTTCCTCGAATTATTAAACGTTCTAGTACCAGTTTTTCTGATTTGATCATCATTATAATCATCAAGAATTTGTTTATCTTTTTCGTCCTCTGTCTGTTCTTTTGGCGGTTTCCATTGTAACCTTACTTTTGCCATAATGTACGGGTAAGTAACCACAGTAGCAATAGTTTTACTGAGGGCACCCAACCAAAAGATTAGACCAGGTGTAAGGTTATAGTTTTTCTTTAGCATTATATCTTTGAATCTCTCAAAAGCACCATAGGTTATAGCAGGGTTGGCACATAATACCAATGATGGACCCAATCCTTTCCATAATCCAGTGACTCCATCTTCAGAAACAATTTCTTTTGCAGTATTAGTAAGGCTTTTACGTTCATTGATAGTCGAAGTTTGTTGTCGTGTAGTTACAACAGACACAGGAATTGTAAAAATTTGAGCGAGTGCACCTGCAAGGGCACCGAGTGTGAGCTCTTCAGCAGTAGATAAAGACGTCGTAGAACGTGCTTGTTGATAGCGAGTACGAATGAAAGAGTACCAATAAAAATATGCAAAGTTTGTTGAGGCTACTCCGATAAGACCGGAAGGCAATCCCGTATAAAGACCAAGTATTCCTTCGGATTTAAATATTTTAACAATCGCATCTATTGTTGACTCGTAGTATTCAGAGGCATGTGTACTTTTTGATTGTACTTGAAGTCGAGTTTTTATACTGTTTGATCAGCAACGATTAATAATTAATAAATGTCTTCAAAGAACACAAAAAAACGAGTATTTTAAGAAGCATTTGGTTATATCCTCCGCGACAAAATAAGGAATACCCACATGTCCAGCGGATAAGTTATGGACAACGCGAATAAAGCACCTAAAGCTCCTGCGACAGCATTACCTAATGGTGATAATGGAACTTCTTTTGAAGCCGCTGCCATAGTATTCTGGTTTATTTTTAAATTATTAACAATTATATATATCATATATATATATTATACCAATACAGTTATACGAGTAGTACGTAGAAAGTTTAAAGTATTAATATCTTTGTGTTACAAGATGCAGATTATCTAACTTGGGTTAAATATGATACGTGAACGCAATGTCGTAATTATTTGTTATTTTTGAGTTGCGGCATTCTTTGACGTACTTGTTATGAATCTAATGAAAAAAAATAATAATGGCACGAATATATAACAGATAATACAGTAATATCTAATAGAGTATCATTTACGCATTTAACATATCGATATGGTATAAACTCCATTAATTTATTGTCGAAAATAGGCCCTTTTATTATTTCTTGATATACAGTATGAGAGATCGCTAAAGCAATATGCTTTAGCGGATAACAAAAGAATTTGAGTTATCTTTATGACATCATTATGACTTTTATTCTATGGAAAATGGTGATTTGATATTCTTGAGGGGACGATGATTTTTTGCGGTGATTATGTGACAACTTGTATTGAAAAATGATATTCAATGCGATATCGATAATTTATTGATGATACTGCCTAATCGGCCATAACATCCACATCCACTTGTGTCCTCCTCGGATTACCTTCGTTTAATACTTTTCCTAATATATACGCGGTAGTTAGTAATAAGATAGACGTAAAATTTTTTTTAAATTCTCTTAAAGCCATTCGCCTTACAGTACCATCCCAAACCTTAATACCGAATGCTTTTCCGTGAGTCATATCCTATTATTTTAAAAAAAGCAGCTTAAAAGAAACGTAAAAACTAGTAAAATAAATCAGCGTAATTTACCTTCATTTTTAGTTTTACTTTTGTAATTTCATAATAGCTGTTGATGATTCCTTTATTAACTCAATGATCTGGTGCCTTTATCAATAGAATTTTCGGGTTTAAAAAGTTTTTTTTACAGCTTGCTTATTCGATAAAAAAAAATATACACATATTTAATACCACTTTAAGACCAACACCATAGTTTGGATAAACATTTAACAATTTATATAAATTCTTGGGCGATTGTGCATCACGAACGGTAGGCAAAAGATCTTTGCCACTTAATAATAATCTTTTCGCCACAGATGTCATTAGTGTTATTAATTGTTGAGTTTAAACTAAAATGATTTTGCTGACGTCAATATTCACGGTTATCGATTCTTAAATTTTATTGGTCACTTATAGTAAATATACTTTATATATTGTTCATTATATTATATAAATTTCCAACTCATCAATAACAAATAATTAAAATTATATTAGAAAACGTTTTTAAAAACATTGTTATAAGTCTGAAACGATAAATTTTTAATAAAACCAAAGAACGTAGGATATTTAGTTTCAGCTACTGAGCTTACTCGTCCTGACCGCCACGTAGAGGCATATCCTTCTGGTCAGGTCCTACGTATTAGTCCATATTATATTAATGAAAAGTAACCACAAATACCTATCTATTTAAGACCTAACCCTTGAGAAAAAAAAAAAAGTTTTTTTCGAAAACCTTTTCAAATTCAACCCATACCAAAAGTACACCACACAAAGCGGAATCAAAGCACAGGCTAAACGGGCCATTCAAACAGGCACACAAAGAAAACGAAAGGCTTAAAAAATTTTGAAAGTTAGCAAAAAATACATAAGTAAAAGAGGTATTATGACGCACTTGCAATATCTCAAGATCCAGTGATCAGAATTGAATGGTGGTGAAATTGTTTGATTCTGATCAATGGACTTTGAGATATCGCAAGTCATCATAATTGGTACCTACACCATAATACCCTTTGCACGTAATACCGTGATTAGAATCGAATGATTTTGGTACTATTCGATTCGTCTTGTTGAGACGGATCGAATGGTATATAAATCATTCAATTTGAATTAATAAGTCACGAGCTATGATAAAATTTTCTTTCTTAACTGTATCATAATACCCCACTTTTACCTTATATAATGTTGTATAAAGAAAACGAAAATATTTGTGTAATAACTTACTATTCGGTAGGTTCTTTCGAAAACCTTTTCAAATTCAACGCGTACCAAAAGCTAGAATCAAACCGTAACCATCAAATGCAGATACACGAAGAAAACGAAAGACTTAAAAAAAAACAAATTGAAAGTTAGCAAATAAAAAATAAAAAAATACACATACAGTCGTCCCTCCATATAGTCACCTCCCATATAATCACATCATATGTAATCACATTTTTATTTAGCCCAAACTATAATTTAATTTATAAGAAAAAAACCTCCATACAAGCACAACCCTTTATAAGCACATTTTTAAAAAAAGTTACTATGTGCCCAACTGTGTGATTGTATGGGAGGACGACTGTATTCAATTATATCAAAACAAAAGCGAAGAAGTTAAAAATTTTATATTGCTTTATAATTTTTACTTATTACTGTTAAAATTCTAATATATTTATAAGTGTATTGATAAATAAAGTGTATATATTATTTATTAATTTATTAAATGAAATATAAAATAATACTCAATCCAGAACTCTTCCTGATGATCATTTGGCACACAACAACAACAATAGATAAAAGCCATTTAAAGAGCTAAAGTATTGCCAAGATCATTATAAAACACAACAAAAGGTGTTTAAAAGGTGCAGTAGACTTTTAACAAAGCAGTCTTAAAGAGACACCAATGAGCTTTAAAGCGCTTTGGAGAAAAGAGGCTTAATTTTTAAGTTTTGTTTATCGCTTGTCACTACGATACTTAAAAAGCAAGATTAACTTAGTATAGACATCTGAAAGTCTATACAATAGCAAAGGAAAGCTAAGTAGTGCTGTAGAGTAAAGAAATTTTATTGTACTGTAGAAAGATACAACGGCTCTTGCAATATATAGTTAGAACTTTCTTGCTTATTTTAAATTTAGGGAAAATAGTGTTAACCCTGTAGTGTAGATCTTTCATATAACACAAATAGACACGTAAAGGCACATAGTTACACACAAGCTATTCCAGAAATCTGACATGTAAAAACACGTGAAAACACGTCAAAATCACGTATTCTTGGAATTACAAAATAGAGTTAGTAACAAAGAGTTTACAAGTCTAAAAGGATTAAATAGAAAGCACGTGATATCCAAGATAACAACGTCAAGAAATGCCAGCACTTATAGAATATAGAAACTTCTTTAAAAAGTCAGAAGATGAGAAATTAGAGCTATATAAAGCACAGAATACAACATTACTAAAAGAAGATATACATGTTGCAGAGTACCTAGGTACAAGCGATAGTTATTTAATAGCAATTATACATAATGTTTTAGATAGGTATAAATGGGTACAAAGTAGAAAGAGCAGACAAAATGAAATCTTAGACAAAGAAAGGACATTGCTTGGACTAAACACAGAGTTTAGTAAACTTCATATTAAAAATGAACAAAGTAAAGTAGTACCTGCAATTATAGAGGTTAGTTATGACAAGCCAGTCGTTTTGACAACTGATTATAGTAAAAAGGTGCAAGAGAATAATCAAGATTGTGCACATAAAAGAAGTTTGTCAGAACATGAAGAAACAGATATCACTGATGAAGTGGGGATTGAGTTAAAGAAAACTGTATTGGTCTAGAATGAGGTCGGCATTATTGATTATGGAATAAAAGAGCAACTAGCCAATAAAACGAATAACACCACTCAACGAATAGAGAACAAAAAGGCCAAGAAGCACGTAGATATTTATAACTCAGTGTGGGTGCCAGAGGGTAAAGTTAACTTGCAAGAAAGCTGGGCAATTCATCTAGATCAAGGTAAATTGTAGAGTAATGCCTGGAAAATTTGACATTATAAACTAGAAGACAGAAGTAAATTTAAAAGTGCAATTTACAATATACCAAGCACAGCTTTTGACAGCCTCATGCTCCGACAGTTAAGAAAAACAAAGTGTACACAGTCCATACTCTGAACAATAGTAATGTTAACCAAAGTAGAAAAGCACTACTATATTTTGAAACAGAAGAAGATTTAATCAAAGCACGAAGTTCAGGTCTGTACTATTTTAACACAAAATTAGAGTGGAATCTTTCTGCCTTAGAGGTAGAAAACAAAAGAGTAGCAAGTTTAAAGTATTATGGTGAACGCAAGAAGCCTTTAAGTAATAGAAGAAAACATGATCTTAATGAAACAGTTACCGTTAAGGAGTCAAGTGGAGACAGAAGGCAGAAAGGTTACTATAGCACTATTAGAGAAAGCAATTGTCATTGTAGTAGTAAAAGAAGTTGGGTTAAACAAAGAATACCTAAGAATGAGGTAGTATATAATAAGGAGAATCTGAACCCCAAATCTGCATGTTTTGTCTCAGGTTCAAAAGGGAAAGTTGTGGAGAAAATTGATAAAGCAGAGAATATTGATCACAACTACAAAGCGTTTTTGAGAAAATTTTAGCAAGGCTTGACAGAATTGAGGAAAGATATATAGGGGCCGGGGGCCCCAACCACTCCTAAGGGTGCCATGGGCATGCTCAAAGAAAAAGGGGGTTCATATAGAGAGTGTCTGGTTCAGCAAGACGAAGCCCCCTCTAACAACACGGACAATAATACGATAGATGATAAGGTAGTATGTGAGATTCAGTTAAGAGTAGCATGTCATAATATTAATGGTATAAAGGAAACAAGATCAAATTAAGGGCAATATCAGAGTAGGCAAATGACAAAGAAATTGAACTAATAGGGTTAATAGAAACTAATGCAAGTGAGAAAGATCTTAGATTTAGTGTGGAAGGGATTAGTATGAGGGGCTTTTGGTCACAAGGTGAAATTGCAAAGCGCAAAGGTTCTGGGGTAGGACTATTAGTAAGTTCAAGGTGGAAAAAGCATTTAGGTCAAATTACGAGGTTTATGGAGTATTTATTAGAAGTGCATTTTTACTTCAAACAAGTAGTGGTAGTTGTTATAGTAGTTTATTTCCCACCAAATGACAAGAACATAGTTAAAAAGATTCAACAAAAGATTATAACAAGTTTTATAGAGAGAACTGATAAGATGCATTTTGTCATAATGGGTAATTTTAATCACATAGTCAATAGAGAATTAGATAAATCTAGTTCGGAAAATACAGCAGGTTTCAAAGTATTACCGCTCTATAAATGGTTTCAAAATCAGGGTTTTGTTGATATATTTAGATTAATTAATCCAGATACTAAGAAGTTTACATGGTCTGGTCAGGGTGTTGAAACAAGAATTGATCAAATTTGGGTATTTGAGGATCTTTGTTACGGTGTTCGAGAGGCTAATATCTGTGAAGCAGATGTTGTAACAGCAAGCGATCATGCAATAGCAATGTCATATATTTCGCTTAAACATCTAATTAAAACTTGTAGTAAGGCAAGTGAAAAGAAAAAAGGAATCTCTAGGGTTGTGTATTTATACGATGAAGTATTGAAAGACGATTGGAAAATATCAAAAAGATTTAGAAAGGTTCATTATAGGCAACCAAGCACTTGCCAAGTGTTGGATCTCATCTACACACGACAGGCTCAATATAATATGAGACATTATATCAGGTGCAATAAAATGTGCTGCTAGCAAGAACATTCCAAAGAAAAAGGTACCTGGAGGTACATATAAGAGAAGAAGGAAGAAAAGAGCACAAGAATATAGTTAGATTAAGCAAAATTATTCAATGTGTTAGAAAAGCAGCAGTATGTGAGAAAGTGGCAGAAGAAAAATCTACTCATAAAAGAATCAACATAGCAGTAGCTCGCAGATATGAAAGAATTGATGATGAAGTTGGAGTAATGCTAGCAAGTATTCTTGACAAACCCTTCAGAAAAATAAAACTCAACCGTATTCTAGAGAAAGACAGCAATACATGGACCTTATACAATAAGTCAAGTGATGTTTTGTTTAAAACAGCAGCGCATTTTCAAAGTCAATTTAAAGAAAGAAATATACTTAATAACCAAAGTGTGATTAATGAATTTTATGAACCGCTCGAAGAGGTGAAAGAAGAGTGGTATTTAGAGTTAGATAATGAAGTCATGCTAGAAGAATGGTTGGATATAATTGGAAAGATGAAGAATAAAACAGCACCTGGAGTGTCAGGAATTGGCTACTTGCTAATTAAGAATGCTAGTATAGAGGTT